AGAAATCATGAAGCTACATTTTGTTTAAGATCAAGACATTATCATTTCAGCCTTAAAACTATAATGTTTAAATTGCTTTATTTTTTGTGAATTGGCACAAAAATTGATCAACCTCTCAGAAGGGGGAAAGCTCATGCTTTTCCTGTTTCTGTACTTACATTTTTTCTGCAATTAAAAAATGTTAAATTCTTATTCCACAATAACAAATTAGCATTATTAGAATACAGTGAATGCCAAAACTTCACTAGGTATTAGGCGATATATAGGTGACATATAGGTAATGTTGACCTAAATACCTTTGAACAAAATCAATCTATATTTCTGAGTATAATACTTATGTATACACAAGGTTAAATTTGGAGGCTGCTAGGGCTGAGTTTTTCATAGTAAGAAACTGGATCCTAAACATTACATCCTAAATTACTAAGCAAAAATTTAGCACAGGCCAGGTAATCCTATTATAAAGACAAAACAAAAACAAGTTAGTTTCATCACAGTTTTTTTGGAGGGAAATCTATTTTGGTTCCAGGTAACTTGGATCAACAGTAGGTAATAGACCTGGCTAGCAAATTGCTGCCTTCTAATTCTCTCTGATATTATCAAAGCTTTCAACTTTCCGCACCTGGTTCCGACATCCTGTTGCAATTGTTCTTTAATTCTTGTTCAGAAATCTTCCTCACCAGTGTATTCACTGTCATTTAAATGGAGTCCTTCATAAATTTAAGTTGCCAAGTTCTCTTGATTTCATACTTCTTTCAGAGCCCATTCTTCCACCTGTCATACCTATGTAGGCATTTCTTTGAGTATTTATCTAAGAGTGGAATTGCTAGATTGTAGGGTATGCCTATCAACAACTTTATTTATTTATTTACTTACTTACTTACATATGACAGGATCTTACTCTGTCACCCAGACTGGAGTGCAGTGGCATGACCATGACTTACTCAGTCTCTTGGGCTCAAGGCATCCTTCCTGCCTCAGCCTTCTGAGTAGCTGCAACTACAGGTGTGCACCACCATGCCCAGTTAATTTTTTTATTTTTAGTAGAGACAAGGTCTCACTGTATTGCCCAGGCTGGTCTCAAACTCCTGTGCTCAAGTAATCTTCCTGCCTCAGCTTCCCAAAGTGCTGAGATTATAGGTGTGAGCCACTGCACTTGGCCTCAACAACTTTATTACACAATGCCAAAATGTTTTCAAAAGGGATTATAACAATTGACACTCTTGCTGGCTTTGTGTAAGAGTTCTCATTGCTCCACGTCGTTATAAATAGTTGATGTATTTAGGCTAAAGGTTTTTGCCAATATCATGACTGTGAAATGATACATATTTGACTTTTATTTGCATTTCTGTAATTACTGATTCTCTCAACATTAGGAGTTCTTTATATATTCTGGATAGTTGTCCTTTGACAACTGTATGCATTGAAAAAAAATTCTCCCACTCTGTGGCTTGTCTTTCCACTTTCTCTGCAGTGTCTTTTGATGAACAGAAGGTTTTAATTACACTGTAGTCAGATTTGTCAACTTTTTCCTTTATAGTATGTAATTTCTCTATTTTGTTAAAGTCCTTTTCGTCCATTCTGTATCATCTTGTAAAACTTAATAAGTTTTTCTTTTGAATGATGTCTTTAGTTGACGTGGGATTTATTTTTGTGCATGATATGAGAGTGGGGATCAAATTGCATAGGTTTTTGGGATATTAATTATGTTAGCACTACTTATTAAAAGTCTATAGCACCATTTATTGATCTGCAGTTTCTCCTTTGTCATAGCTCAGGTTGTGTGTGTGTGTGTTTATCAAGTTAAAGAAGTCCTACTTGATTCCTGGTTTGCTAAGAGTTCTTAATCATAAATATAAAATTTTATAAATTATTCTGCATTTATTCATACAATTATATTATTTTTCCTACATTCATTTGTTAATATGCCAAATTGCATTTGTTTCTTTCCAGCTATTAAATCAGTCTTGCATTCCTAGGATAAATGAAATTTGGTTATGATACATTTAATATTTTGTTGGATTTGATTTGCTAATTGTTTAGTATTTTAAAAGTTTATTATATTCCTATATTATCCTTTTAATGCATGCGCTGTCTGTCGGGATGACTTCTCTTTCATTCTTGGTCTTGAAATTTGTGTCTTCTCTTTATTCAAAGAACCACCTTTTTGTTTCACTTATTTTTCTCTATTTTTATTCTCTAGTTCATAGATTTCTGTTCTTATATTACTCCTTATGCTTTCTTTTGGTGTAGTTTTTTTTTCTTCTTGGTTCTTAAGATGTGGACCTTAGATCATTGATAGGAAAGCTTTCTTCTTTCCTAATAGAAATAATTCTATGAATTGCTAAGTACCACCTTATGTGCCTCCCACATATCTCAATATGTTGTGTTTTCATTTGTAGTAAATGCAAAATACTTTCCTAATTTCCTTGTGTTTTATTCTTTGAACTATGGGTTATTTAGAAATGTATTGTTTGCTTTCCAGATATTTGAGGGAACCCTCAGATGTCTTATTTTTCCGTTATGGAAAGAGAGCATACTTCACATGTTCCAATCATTTCTAATTTATTGAGACTTGTCTTATGGCTTGTAATATGGTGTACCTTCATTAATGTTCCATGGGGGAATGAGTGAAAGTATTCTGCTGCTGTTGGGTTGTATGTTCCATCAATGTAATTTACATTAAATTGGCTGATAGTATTATTAAAGTCTTCTATATCGTTGTTGATTTTTAAGATATAGTAAGTCCTGACTTAACATCATTAATAGGTTGTTAAACCTGTGGCTTTAAGTGAAACAATATATAACAAAACCAACTTTTTTTCTCATCAGTGTTGTAATATAACGACATTGAATGATGGTATTCTAGGACTTGCTGTATGTCATTTCGCTTATAGTCTGTTCCCAAGGACCTATCAATGACATTAAATGAGGACTTACTATATGGGTACCCAAATAATGAGAGATTGGTGAAGTTTTTGTATAAAAACAGACGTCTAGTTTTTCTCTCAGATTTATCCATTTTTGCTTGATGTATTTTGAAGACTTGGCCTTATTTTTTTTGTTTTTATTTTTTTGAGATGGAATCTCGCTCTGTCACCAGGCTGGAGTGCAGTGGTGCGATCTCGGCTCACTGCAACCTCCGCCTCCTGGGTTCAAGTGATTCTCCTGCCTCAGCTTCTCTAGTAGCTGGGATTACAGGCACGCACCACCACACCCAGCTAATTTTTGTATTTTTTGTTAGTAGAAACGGGGTTTCACCATGTTGGCCAGGATGGTCTTGATCTCCTGGACCTCGTGATCCACCCGTCTTGGCCTCGCAAAGTGGTGGGATTACAGGCGTGAGCCACCGCACTCAGCACACTTCACCTTCTTAAACCTTATTCGATGTCCATGTTTATCCTTGGTAATATTCTGTGTTAGAATGCCTTTTTTTCCCCCGATATATAGTCACTTTAGCTTTCTTTTCCTTAGTGTTTGCATGATATATCTTTTTCCATAGTTTTACTTTTGATTTATGTCTCTGTCTTTTAATATGTATATATTATAAACCTTTTCCACTAGATCCTTTAAGATGTTAATTATAATTATTTAAAATTCCTTGTTGGATGTTTTCAATACCTGATTCATGTCTGGGTCTGGCTCTGATGACTTCTTAACTCCTTCAATGGTTTCTATTCTTCATTGCTTTTTATTGTCTTAAAATTTTTATATTGAATGCTGGACATTATACATACAAGACCATTGGAGATTGAGATAAATATTATTTATGCTTGGAAATGGGAGTTCTTTTCTCCTGCTAGATCATCAGGATGGAGGATTGAGTCAATCTAGTCAGCAGTTGAACTGGGTTTGGTTTTTGTGGTTATCATCATCACCCTCAGCACAGCATTAACCTCAACTTTCTTAATCAGCTTGCTACCCTGTGCTTAGTGCGAAGCCTGGAGGGCTGAATGCCTGCAGCCTGGAAGGCTTAACTCTCTGTGCTCTTGCTCTTCTCCCAACAGTTGCTGATGTTTCTTAGTGAAAGGCATGGGGTGGGGCTTGAGATTCTCTTGTACTTTCCTCAATTTTAGGCAGTCCTACACTCAGCAGTTGAGAATTTGAAATTTTCAGTTTTCTTCTTACTCAGTTTTATGACTCAACTTTTTTCTCCCATACTCTGCAAAAGGAGAAACAGTTTGAGTATCCTGTCTTACCTTGGGCTTACCACTCTTTGGAATTCATTCCACATCCTGGCATCAACTCTTCTGCCTCAGAGTATACGAGAGGGAAATGAGTACTTTTTCCAGTGACTCTGTACCAATTTCTTTAGTAAGCTGAGAAGAAAAATTTCTAGCCTTGTCTATTTGTGTAAGACTAGCTTATCTTCCCTGTCATTAAGGTGATAAACATGAAGGATCTTAGTACCTCATTTTATATCTTGGTTTTGATAATGATTTTTAAAAATTACCTGCTCTGGGGCTGGGCGAGGTGGCTTACGCCTATAATCCCAGCACTTTGGGAGGCTGAGGCGGGTGGATCACGAGGTCAAGAGATCGAGACCATCCTGGTCAACAAGGTGAAACCCCGTCTCTACTAAAAATACAAAAATTAGCTGGGCATGGTGGCGTGTGCCTGTAGTCCCAGCTACTTGGGAGGCTGAGGTAAAAGAATTGCTTGAACTCAGGAGGTGGAGGTTGCAGTGAGCCGAGATCGCGCTGTTGCACTGCCGCCTGGGTAACAAGAGTGAAACTCCATCTCAAAAAAAGAAAAATCACCTGCTCTGGTCTGTTTTCATACTAGACAGTCAAGTTTGAAAAAATAATGAATTAATCTAATATAATAATTTTATGCCTTTGGAATGTCTACTTCAACATTAAATTAATCCACATTTCAGAAGAACTCTTTATTTCATTTTATTGGCCCAGAATGTTAAATGAAGAGGCTTGCTTTTGGTTGAATTTATGCAACTTGTTTAAAATATGAGGATTACTACTTTGTTTTCCCTTGTGTTTCAGGTATTGGTGGTAATTTGGTGGCCATTCAGGCTAGCAGGATTTCTACCTACCTCCATTTACATAGCATTCCAGGAGAACTGCCTGATGAACTCAAAGGTTGTTACTATCCATTTAGAACTTTCTTTGGTCCAGGTATGTGCCTGTGGATTGTTGCATATTTTAGATCAAGGGCTATTGCTCTGTAAGATTATAGGCAGGGAACATTTATTGAATATGTATTTTTTGAGAGTTGCACAACTTTCCTATTTCTGAGAGCTAATCTCAGTGAATGAAAAGGCTTGTGTATCAATTGTGCAGTTGCTGAGGATCTTTATATAATGTTTCTCTTTGATGTCTCTTTCTGGGATATCTTGCTTATTTGTCATGAAAGACAGACAAAAAAATCATTGCCAGGTGATTTTGCAGATGTACTATCTTTCCTATATTATTATTTTGGCTTTTTTAAATGTAGGCATTTGATCTTAAACAAACCAGATGAGAAGAGGCAACCTCAGTTTCAAGGAACAGTGCATTATTTATGTGACTACGAAAAACAAAGGCACATGATTACCAAAACACAGAGACTACAATTTGAAACCTCAAAATTCTTGTCACTTTTTTTCCCTGATGAAAATAAGTGTGATTATTGACTTTTGATTTAAAAATTTTTTGTTGTTGAGATGGGGCTTGCTCTGTTGCCCAGGCTGGAGAGTAGCAGCACCATCGCAGCTCACTGCACCTCAAACTCCTGGGCTCAGGTCATCCTCCCACCTCAGCCTTCTGAGTAGCTGGGACTACCGACACATGCCACCTTCCTTGGCTAATTTTTATTTTTATTTTTTGTAGAGACGAGGTCTCACTATGTTGCCCAAGCTGATCTTGAACTCCTAGCCTCTAGTAATCCTCCCACTTTGGCTTCCTAAAGCTCTGGGATTACAGGTGTGAGCCACTGTGCCTGGCGATTATTGACCTTTGAATGAAGATCAGAAATGGTTACTCTTTTAATATCAGTGATAGAAGTCTAAAGAAATTAATAAAATTAAAACATTCTTGTACTTTAAGAACTTTACATTTTCTCTTTTGTCTTCCCTCTGTTTTGATAATAGATATTAAAGTCTGACTGATGTTCTTCATAGCAAGTTTTTATCAACCACCTTTCATTTAATTAACGTATATAGTGGAAATTTCAGAGAATGAAATGCATTGTAACGACTTGAAATTTATTTTTGGCCATCAAATTTCATGTGATAGTATGAAGTATAGTAACTAGAAAGTAATTTTCAAATTTTAATAACTATGACCTATTAACCAAAATATAATTTTGTTTAATTACTTTTACATTTTACATTACAGGAGTAAATAATAAGTCTGCCCAAGTTCTGCTGCTTTTAGTGATTCCTGGACATTTAATTTTCCTCTACACTATTCATCTGATGAAAAGTGGTCATACTTCTTTAACAATAATCTTCATAGTAGTGTATTTATTTGCTGCTGTGTTACAGGTAAGAGTTAAAACTTACTGAAATCTCTTTTATGCTCAGACTGCTGCAAAAGTACAACTATGGAAATCTAAAAACACGTGACATATTTTGCCATTTTAAAAATCAACTGAACATCTTCATATTGATTTTATCTTCTTAAAATCAATAAACAATTTTTTGTTAGTCATCAATATTTATATTATTAGGTCCATGTAAACATTTTTTATTACAGAGTCAGATAATTTCACTATGACTATTTTTACTTTTTTTGTATATCTTTTTCTCATGGGGTTAATAATCACATCTCTTTGCATTTGCATCATTTTCCATAAACCCACCTTTAATTTTTACCAATGGTTCCGGTTTTATTTTGGTTTTCTGGACATGGCTTCTTGCTAAACTTTGTAGATATGGTACCTTCTACAGTGAGGTAAGTCCTAATCCCTTAAGAGATCAATTCAAATAATTCTTTGAAGAGATAACATTTATCATTTGGCTTTCCAGGAGTTTGGCATATAGGAATGAGACTAAAAGGTAGATATGTATACATTATTCCATTCAAAAGAAACTGCATTGATGCTAATGATGGTGATGGAATTAGTTGGCATCTATAGTGTTTCCTGTGTGCCCAGAAGCATTATAAATGCTTTAATTGATTCATTGAATTATCACAAAATGCTATGAGATTTGTTCTTTTGATCTAAATTGGTAATTTTCAAAGTGGGATACATACAAAGCAGTGCACCGTGTGGAGGAAGAAAAGATTAAAACTTCATTTGTTTAAAATAACTATTTTCCTCTATTTTTGTGTTTGCTTAGTAATAAATATATTTTAGCACAATGTTAAATAAGTATACCAAATATTTTATACTGAGAGAGCTGCATAATCGAAAACTTTTTGGAGATTACTGAGTTAAAACACAGAGGTGAGAAAGCACAGGGCTTGTGCAAGATAAAATAATTCATATACAGGGTCTAACAGACAAGGTAAGGTTAAGAACATTGATTAGGGCTGGTGTCGAAAAGGCCTTAAATATAAGGGAAATTAGCATCTATTCTTAAAATAACAATGCCCTTACAACTTGACATTTTTAACTTGTCTATTACGCTTTATAGTGCCTTAGATTTTACTGAAAGTCACCTATCAAATAATTATTCATCCAGTAAACCTTCATGCTACTAGAGTAGGGATGGCTTTTAAATCCCAGGAGGATTAAGTTCAGACTCTGTACTCAAGGTTTAATAGTATAGAGGGAAGACCACTGCATGAACAAATAATTATTATGTACTATAATGTAAGTACTGGGTTTAGCTATATATGAAGTGTTTTCAGAGCTTGAAAGAAAAAGCAACTAACTCTACCCGGGGAGTAATCTTTTTCTACTTTTCAGTAGGGACAAAACCTATAGCAAATTGCTACTTTTATTGCTGTATATTAAATGGCCATTTATTGTCATATATGTTTGATGCTGTTCTCTATATAACTGTTGTGAAAAAGATGCATTCTTCAATCCCAGGGGAAATATTCAGAGACCGGTGTTTGGTCTGTTGATGAACAAGCCATTGCTGGAGCATATTCCTGTTTCCAACTCTACCTCTTAGCCTCATGGATTGTTTGACATGTATGTTTATGGTTCTCTGCCAACATATTATCATGCAGCATTTCACTTAAGTCAATGAAGGATATAAGTAATTTTTCTAGTTTATTAAAAATAGATTTCAGTATATATTAACCTCAGATCTAAAGTAGAATAACTATAATTGAGAAAACAGTAATTATTAGTCTCTCTGTGTATCTGTTTCCCCCTCTGTAAAATGGGAGAGGTAAGATAAGCTACTTTGAGGATTCAATGAGTTACTTACATAAAGCGTTTTATAGTAGATGCTATATAAGTATTAGCTGGCGCTATTGTTGTTGTTATTAAAGATAATATTATAAATGGTGTGCCACTGATTTCAGAATGACAACTAGAAACTATACTGTTCATTGGATTTTCTTATGTGTCTTTTATAACTTTAATTTTTATGGGCTTTGCTTTTCGTTTTTCCCCCAAGAATCAGATAACTGCCAGAGTAGACCTTTGCATTTGCAGCCTGACATTATGCATTATTCTAATGGAATAGCTTAGAATCAGGTTGTAAATTCTCAGATCAAATCTACATGTTCTGATGCTAGCATACACATAAGCACACACACGCACATGCGCGTGCACACACATACACACACCTCTTTAAGGTTTAGGTAAAAGATCTTGACCTTCCCCCACCTTGCTTCAGTAATCCAAAGACGAACAGAATGAAGAAATAACTCCTTAAAGACAAAGAATCTTTGACCACTTAAAACTTAAACCTTTTAATATTCTTCACTGGATTGGTTTCTTTTTTTGATCCACGTTAAATTTATATTGAAAACCTTGGTCCAAGATCTTACTCAAATACTTCAGTTCATGCCACTCTTCTCATCCCTAAACTCTCTAATTTGATTGGATATTCTACAGTACAGCTTTCCAACGCATGCTGAATTTCTCCTATCTCCTTGAGGGTTGAGACCATGCCTTTCCCTTTCGTATTCCCTACAGGGAATGATATAGCGGCTGTTTTTCTTCATTATTGGTGTTTTGTGCACTTCACAGACTAATACTCTTTGAGGAGCCTCTCTGCTAATTCCCCAGCTCACTAAATGAAGGAAATCTATTTGAAGGAAACTTCATATTGCACTTATTATAATGACATAATAACAATAATTTGCAGCACTTTTGCATTTACTCAGATATCATTTCTTCCTGGAAGCTTTTCTTGAATATCTGATTTCCTCTGAATTGCCTTATTCTCTATTTCCCAAAGTACCCTGTGAATACCATTATCCAAGCATTTTCCATATTATATCGACATTATCTATAATATTTATTGTGTCTGTCTTGCCCATTTCCGAGATAGGATCTTTGTTTTATTCATTTTTGTATCTCCAACACCCAGCCCTGTCCCTAGTGCTCAATTAATGCTTGTTAAAACTGAATGACTGCATCTTGCCAGCTCCATCTTCTTCAGTTTAAGGAAAAGAAACTTTTATAACTATATCTAGGTACGAGAAATCACAGAAAAAATTTTTTAAAAATCTAGATTTTTATTCTCCTTGCCTTCAATAAACACCAGTTTCCTCTCTTTCACTGATATAGGTATCCAAAACAAAAGCAATTAAAAATGAAACACAGAACCCCACAACTTCTAACAATGATTAGTTAAAATTGTAAGGTTTTACTGAAATGTTTAGAGATGAAATAACTGATTTCTGGGGAAGTGGAAGCGTAGGGGTAAAATTGGTCATGAATTGGTAATAGATGAAGCTGAGTGATGATGGTTCCTCAGAGTGAGTAGGGTTAATTTATACTATTCTGCTTTTTGTATATGTTTGAAGTTTTCCTTAATAAGGAGTTTTAAAAATAAAACTTTAAAATTTTAGATGTTAGTATAAGAATTTTGTTTTTTTTTCAGAGTATATCATCTCTCTAATTTTGGTCTGGTAGCTGAATGGGTATTTCTTACTTCAAGTGAAAAGTAAAAAGTCAAATTTGAAATTCTTTGGCGTTGGAATGGTTGAGTTAGTTTTTTATTTTGCCCTTGGCACACACTACGTTTTTTGAAATGATTTTTTAAATTTAAGAAAACCTCCTTATATGTCACAAATTACATTGTTTGGGGGTATTTATTATGTGTCTTACAATTAGAAGGAAGCTATCAAATGTGGTTTTCTTATATGATGTTTAGGCCATCGATCCACAGTCAGAAAATGTGATGGATTATACCCTCTTCATGTTCTTGCCCAGTCCCCAAGAGCAAGTAGAGTAGCTAGACCATCTCAAGACCAGAGTAATGTGCTAAGAGACATTCATATTTGACACACCACCAATCACATTGCTTTTTGAGTTTATTTTTCTTCAACAGTAAGGATGGGTTGGTACCTTGTTAACCATCTTAATCCATTATACCTTTTATACCATCAGTCAGTATTTATGAGACTACCAGCTGTGCTTAAGGCCACAGTTGTTGGTTTTAGAATATAATTTTTTATCTATGTCAAAATAGCACATTGAACCCACAGCTTTGATTTCATAGAAGCAGAGCGTACTTTCCTCTACAAACTTAGACATGTTTCTTGGGTTCTTTCTCTCTAAGAAGTGATTTTCCCAGCCATCATATTTACTTATTTGGTTGCTTCATTGACCACTCAAAGCCTGTTAATTAATGAACTCAAAAGCATAATATGGGATTCCAAGTTAGGATGGGTTTTGTTGACCTTCCTTTCACAATGCAAAGGAGGGAATCTTACTATCATCTTCAGGGTTTGCTGTCTGTTTGCCTTACATCCTACAGCCTTCCTCAAAGACTAGTACCTTGACAGCATAATAAACCTGAGAAAGCACAAAGAAAACTATTAATTAAACAAGCATACTCACAGTCTCTTAAGCAAAGAAGGAACAGCAGTACATCTTGGTTTGTTTCCCTATTTAATTTAAGGCCTCTACTAGTTGTTCCCCTTTGTGTTAGAAATCCTAAATATACATCCTTTATGAAAAAGCAAAAGCAAAACCATGTCATCTTGTTGGATGACGTATCCTACAAGATGCAAAAAGATTGTCCCTAGAAAAACTGAAGGGGGAGAAAAAAAAGACCATAATTAGATGGGTGATTGCAAATGTAAATAAGTCTTTTACTATTCAAATCTCATTCTTATAATCCACTATTTTACTCATTTGATTAAAAACAACAATAACCTCTTTTGTTTTACTATTATAGTTTTCCTCTTTATTACGATGATTATATACATATGGAGTATATAAATATTTTTTCTGCTATAAAATATCCCAGTGGGAAAAGAAAAATGAGACTTCCCTAGCCCTTAAATTCAATAGCCCTATTCTATTGAATTCCAGCAAGGTATTTGTTAATGTAATTGGTAAACAATGAATTAAAACCATTTCTAAATGAAATGTTTAATTCTCTATTTTAGGCAATTGTTGTTT